TAATGAGGAAGTAATCAGATCATATTGGCCTTTAGGCCTGTTTGAGGGAGATTATCCTAATTATTAATTTATATAGAAAGACCCAGCCCATTGTGGGTGGCACCATTCCCTAGCCAGGGCATCTGTTTTAGTTAGGGTTTCTACTGCTGTGAAGAGACATCATGACCATGACAACTCTCATGATTGTGGTGGTTCACTTATCGTTCAGAAGTTCAGTTCATTATCATCATGGCAGGACACTGTAGTGTGCAGCAGACATGGTGCTGGAGAGGTAGCTGACAGTTCTATGTCATGCAGGCAACAGGAAGTGGACTGAGGCATTGGGCGTGGTTTGAGCATATAAGAACCCTCAAAGCCCACCTCCACAGTGACATACTTCCTCTAACAAGGCCACACCTAATCCAACAAAGCCACACTTCCTAATCGCTCCATTCCCTTTGGGGGCCATGCTCTTCCAAACCACCGCATTCATCTTCATCAGAAGCCAGCAGGAAATGGTGTAAGTGTCACACTAAGTGAAGCTTGAGCAAAGGAGACCTCAAAGCCCGCCCCCACAGAGACACACTTCCTCCAACAAGGCCACACCTCCTAATAGTGCCACTTTCTTCAGGCTGTGGTGGCCATCTTCATTCAAACCACCACAGGCAGAAACTGTGATCTGAAACTCCACATCACTCTGCATAACTGCCTCATGTTTTGTTCCTTTCAGACAAAGAATTAGGCAGCTATCATTCATGTCAAGCCTAGGTTACCCCTGCTGGAATTTAAATCCACTGTCTTAGAGTTTCTCTTGATGTGAAGAGACATCATGACCATGGCAACTCTTATAAAGAAAAACGTTTAATTGGTGTGGCTTATAGTTCAGAGGTTTAGTTCATTATCATCATGGTGGACATGGTGGTGTGCAGGCAGACATAGTGTTGGAGCAGTAGCTGAGAGTCCTATATCTTACAGGCAAGAGGAAGTGTTCTATATCACTGAGTAGTATCTTGAGCATATAAGACCTCAAAGCCCACCTCCACAGTGACATACTTCTCCCAATAATGTACTATTATTGTTCTGCTAAGTAGACAGTATTAAACTGACTCCTAATGACTTATCCTTATACCTGTAGATCAATACCTCTCTCAGCCTTCATAAGAGAAACTTTCTGCAGTAGATACAATTAACGCATAGACCCACAACTTATCACAGTGCAGAGGATGTGAGCCTGTGGAGCACACAGCCCTCAGTGGGACTTCTCTGCCACACACACGCCTCTCAAGCTTGAGTGGTCCTGGAGAAAGAGAGGCAGAAGGGTTGCAAAGCCAGAGATGTGGATGACTTCATCAAATAGAGTTTTCTCACAGTGCAGATGCACATTTGAACTCATGGCAAATCATGGCATGAGTAAGACCTATATGAGATCAAGTCAAGCAAAAGCCCAGCACAGGGGTGGGAGTCATGAATTCCCTCCTCTCGCTTGACCAGTCATTGGTTGGTACTGCAGGTGCGGGGGAGCATCTGTTTTCTTTAAGAGTGTGGTCCCTGGTAAGCCAACCATGCTCTAGCATGTGGCACCACACCCAGGAGTGTTGTGGGAGTAACTTCTGCTGCCTCAACCAATAGTCGCTGAAAT